AATTTTAATTTTTTTTCAATTTTTTAATATTTGTAAATACGATTACATTATTTTTAAAAGAAATCAGTTGTTTTCACGGCTACTTGAAATCAGTTGTTTTCACGGCAACTTAAAATCAGTTGTTTTCACAGCTATTCAAAATCAGTAAGTAAATCACGGCTTTTCAATAAGTTTCAAATTATTATTTAACAACACCTTACTTTTAGGTTGTATCTAATCTTTGCGTATTCATCAATGGATCAATGGATCGCTTTAATGATAGGTCTTATTTAAAATAAATAAACGTTGAATTTATTCTTAAAAACAAATTAAATATTTATTACAAATAAAATAATGTTTATTAGTGACATCAAGTAGGAGAATCAGGCATTTAAGATGAACGCAAGCGGAGTGTATGTCATTTGTGTGTGTGAGTGTATGGTTACCGCGGTTATGATACATAAGTCCGGAGGTGATCAGGCAGGATTTTTAAGGGAAAACCTATTTGGAAATGAACATCCTGTCCGCTATTATTACAATTATTTAAAGAATAAAGTTACATAAATTTAGCTAAGTTAGCTAAGCTAGAGTTAATTGTTAGTCTAGGGTGATCACCTCGGGATCGACTACTTTCTCGAGGGTGACTGTGGAACGGTAGAATATATCTCTCAGGAGGTAAACGGGAATTAAATATGGGAATTCATGTTGCGGGAAATAAACGGGGATGCCTGTTTCGTGGGGATCTGCTGTTTCTACGATGGAACGGAGTCCGACCAGGTCGAACTCGTAGGGACCGAGTGTAAAACAATTAGAAGGAAGAGGATCGGTGTATTGGCAGAAATAAGCTAAGGGGTTCCAAAAGAAATGGTGGGAAGGGAGCTCTCAAGTGGACTTTTCGGAAACCGAGGAATATGACGGGGACGGAGTTCTCGGAGACTCCAAGTCCTCGCCCAGACGATCCTGGCTCCGCGGGGAAGGGAAATGCGGTACCTCTTCAATAAATTCCACGATCGAGGTATCCGAGACCGCTGGAGAGAAAAGCTCCTCGCGAGCAACCGGGGAATACGATCGCTCGTATCTGGGACTTAGATGGGAGGAAGGTGCGGGGGAAGGGGAGTGGGGTAATTCTCCGGGGCGAATTGGAAAATAAGAGGGTTCGAGCAGGGGGGAAGAATGTCAGAGGTGTCGGGAAGCACGCGATAACTAAAGAGCCGAGAAGGAGGGGAACCAAGGGGTAATTGACATGGCGGCAAAGGTGCTTCCTCTAGCAAAGCTGGTGGAGGGGATGGAGTTCCGAGTCGCGGAGAACTGGCGTTCTCCCGTTCGTGTAGGAGGAACTCTAATATTTGTTTTTTTAGTTCTCTTCGCGCCTGCTTGTTCCGACGATTCCGCCCGTGTTTCGCAGCGTTTCGGGACTTCACGAATTGCAGCGCAAATCTACTACAAGTTAGCGGGGGTTTAATTATCTATTAACTATGGGGAAGTCAACTCGGGTTTTATGGAATGAAACAAAGGGAGTAGATTTGCTGATCTTGCCAGCCGTGGTATCAAATAGAGATACCTTGAGTCCGCCAATGGTCCAGTTAACCCGAAGTAATAAAGAAAGAAAGAATATTCCGTGTCCGCCGACGAGTCGGCTAACCCGAAGTAATAGAGAGAGAGGGAATATCCCGAGTCCGTCGATAAATCAGCTAACTCGAAATAGTGAAAGAAATATTCTGCGTCCGCCGACGAGTCGGTTAACCCAAAGTAATAGAGAGAGAGGGAATATCCCGAGTTCGTCGATGAATTAGCTAACTCGGAATAGTGAAAGAAATATTCCGTGTCCGCCGACGAGTCGGCTAACCCAAAGTAATAAGCCCCTTGCAGAATGCCAGGCAGCAGGCAATAGGAACAGGAAATAACAAAAAAAATCGTTAATTACAACCTAAAGAATTCGAGTGCTATAATTGGTTGGCAACAGGCAATAGGCACAGAATTTCCAACGTGACGGAAACTCTGTGTCTATTGCCTGTGTCACTGTTTATTCTGCATTTATACTTTTATACATCATTCCTGATTTTTATTCCCTGTTCCCATTGCCTGTTGCCTAGCATTGTGCAAGGGGCTTTAGAGAGAGAGGAAATATCCCGAGTCTAGAGTCCCTTTATAAGAGTCTGAACAGACTAGTCCTTATTTTCATTGGACGTGCAACACCGTGGCGGAACCAATCACGAGCGGTAAAATAGCGAGCCTTAAAAGCTTCTCTCAGGGTGCGTACTGCGTATTATGGAGCTTTTCGAAATGCATTCCGATCGGAATTGTTATTTCCTACATTTATATTGTGTTTTTAGGGAATACAGTATAATTTCAATAGGAATCCATTCCGAAAAGTTCCATAATACGTGCCAGTACACACTAACGATATTGTTACGTGCTTTGCTGCAGTGTTACATACCTGCGCAAAGCACGAAATGATGTCGTTAACATTTACAGAATAGGTGTCTTAGAATAAAAAATAAAGAATTACAAAATTAATAAAAAATGACAATTACTAATTACTACGTTTACGCGAGAGTTACTTCTGCAGTAACTTACGATAATTGACTCGTTTACGCGGAATAAATTATCGTAAGTTATTACAAAATTCCGTTTACACGAAGGAAAATCCCGTTTACGCGAAGGAATTATCGTAAGTTACTACAGAAGTAACGCTCGCGTAAACGTAGTAAATGTCATGCATTTGTTACGTCAGAACCCTGGATATTGGTTGGAGAGATAGGGAAAGAAAGGCTATCTAAAGGAGGGGGTATGGGAAGGCGTAACGTGATCTTATCGTATCTCGGGTTCAAGCTGGAAGGGCGCGTGCCTCGAGTCAAATGCACTTTTCGAAAAAACTCTAGTCGTGGGTCAACGTCCAGAAGGGACGCTATTACGCCTACTGAGAGTTTTCGTGCATTCATGGTATTGTTTTTGGTCAAGGATATAATATCAATATTACCAGAGATCGGACCTTGTGCGATTTAGAGAGGTAGCGAGAGGTGAGGTCTTAAATTAAATAATAGGAAACAAATATCATTTTAAAATTATTGCACATTTATTACAAGAAAAGAACAAGATGGAAAATCATTGTGTTACATAAATGCGTGTGAGTGCGGCGTGTGTGTGTGTGCAGAAGGCGCGGGTGTTACAATGGTGCGGAGGTCATCGAGCAGGATTTTAAGGTAAATGAATCTAGCAAATGGGTATCCTGCCCGCCAGAGTACATTTGGTAAGTTAACTAATATTTTACATCAGATTGTGAAAATAAACATTAATTTGATAACATAGTTATTTGTGTAAAATATCCATAATTATTTCAAAGAAATAGTCAATTAAAATTTACGGTTTCGTAAGACTATGATTACGGTACAATGAATGGTTATTAATTATTATAACTATAAGTTTATATATTCGTAAACTATTTCTATGGTAGGAGATGAGGTTCGGGGGGAGAATTCCTCGAGTATTTCGATACTCGAGTCGGAGAAGGAGGGAGAGGGTGATCGGTCACGATAGAGGGTGGTCGAAGTAGAGAGCGCGAGGAAAGCAGTTCTGTTGAGAGATTCCTCTCGGTATACGAAAGGAACCGGGGAGAAATTGAAGGATGTGTGGTGATCTCTCACGGAACTCCGCAAGTTCCTCGGAAGGAACTGGAGAGTAGGAGGGTTCCAAGAAGGGGGATAATTCTGGATTATCGAGTAACATTCGATATACGTGAAAGAACAGCAGACAGGTGAGGGAGATGGTTGTGGTGGCGTTCCGGAAGTAATGATAACCAGTTCCCGGGCGCCCCCTCCCCCCGAGACACCAGGCAGGCCACACGTAGGGTTTTTAGCCGGTAGAAGTCTGGCATAACCGTCCGCCCGCCCCCGAGGGCGGCGGTACTCATGACGAGTTTTCCCTACGTTAAAGAAAAAGGTGAGGGAGATGGCGAAGGGGGAGGATCGAGGATAGAGTGGTCGATATGCGGAGACCGTTCGCGTTTAAAAAATGAAGCGAGGAGCTGTCGCTCCACTATACGGGCGCGTCTAATCAGTTTTATCCGATTCCGGATAATTATCCCCAGGGACTTGCGGCGGTGTATTTGCGAGTTCACTAAAATTGGTTTATGATTTTAAGTCCAAAATGGGGGGAGGTTTCTAAAGATAAATATATATATAAATATATATAAATATATATATATATATATACACATATATATAGTTTATTTCAAAAAATCATAATTTTTTCTGGTGTCGCGACCACCAGTTAAATATTTTTAATACATTTTGTAATGCGCAATTCTTAATATGTTTTCCGCATTTTACAGTATTAGTAACATCTAGATTATTTAAAGATTCGATATCTTCGTAATCTGCATCCAAAGTCTCAATTTTTAGATGTTTTCTCGCTTTATTCTCAAGCAGATCCACCAGCCATTCTCGTTTCTGGCATCCCTTGACGCACACAAGAGTCGACGTCTCGTCGCCCTCTCCAAGTACAGCCGATGTAATTAGATGTTTAGCCATGCTGTAGGACACGTTTCCGTCCTCCCATCGTAGTCTATGGTGATTTGCAATCAACCAAGAAGCGCATGATCTGTCGGATTTCGCGAGGAGACTCCATGGCATGGGACATGTAAAAATGTAATGTGCCAAAACGGTCCCGTTTCTCAGAACCGCCACCTCCTTTACGACAAATTTCATCCCGACGGTGAATCCTAGCAGATCGACAAACGTCGGTACGATCATGACGAAACGACGGAGCAATCTGTATCTTATCGCGGTACATCAGTGTATCTTATATCGCAATATTTGCTGATATTGCAATTTACATGAGTTTGCACACTACATTAGACAGCAGGCAGTATTCGATTACACGATCATGCAAGATGAGACAATAGGCGGTAGTATTTGCAGGTACATTTTTTTTACAATCAAATTCTATTCGCACATCCACGGTGGCGCTCTTGACAGATTCGTTTTGTCGCGAGCAATCGATGACAACAAAAGGTCCTTCCATCAGGAATGTATACAAGCTGCAAAGCGTATCGAAGGAATCATATCCGTAATAAGTTTTACGAAAACGCGCATACATATCAAAAAGGACGGCGTATCGATTTTTGCCAAAATCCAGATTCATGTCATCGTACGGATAAAATTCGGAGTTTAGATAAAGTTTCACGTTGGTCAAATTACAGGCATCGAATACGCTAACATTTTGAGACATGATATTCTTGCGGCCGGTCTGCAGCGCAAAGATAACGTACCGCGGCTTCTCCAGCTGAGTTGCCGTTTTGATGGCCCACGAATGCTTGGTCGTGCTCTGCAACATGGGATACTCATACAGATCCCACGAACGGAAACTGACACTAAGATATCGCCCGCTTTCCAAGGCCCGTAGCATAGATAGCTTATTGACCTCGTTTAACGTAACGTGAGACATTCGCCACTGTATTTTAAACAATTCGATTTTCGGCTCCATCGCAGGATTTCCTACAATGCAATTGTTATCGCTACGCGCTCGTATCAAAATTAATTCGTGACGAGCGTTAACAACCACGCGTTTGTAATCCTCGCAATAGCCCAGCAACAACTTGAACGGTACGCAAAAGTTGAAGTATCCTTCCAGTATGCTCGATGTAACGTCCCAGCCAGCATTCCGCATGAGTTGAGAATCGTTATACGATAGCGATACGTAGTTCTTGATGGTACTGGTTATGCCAACGTTTCTGTTGCGATCAATCTCCACACCGTTGAGCTCGTATCGAATTTCATCAAACATGAACGCCACGCAATTATTCGCAAGCGTTGTCACAGACTCGTCATTTCTTCTCTTTATTACCAATCGTCCTTCAACGTAGAGAAAGCTCTCGCACAGCAACGTGTATAAATCCTGCTGTTGTATGGGTATTCCTATCTCATCGTTATGTCCAAACGTTGTGTTAGCGTACGGATTGTACGTGTGGGTGTCTCAATCTTGACGACGCTGTCGTCAAAAATCGGTTCACCTCCAATGTTTAAGATATTAGTCATTCCGTACGACGAAACCCAATGATTTCAAAAATTCAATGTTCGACGCAGTGAGTTTCTTCTTTGGCGATCGGATTGTCTTTTTGTTTCTCGTCTGTTGCACCTGCTCAGCTTTGTTCAGTAAGAGCATCTCACGTTATCGCTGTCGTCTTCGTACATGCAGTCTAACGGTGATCTCTTCTTCGCGAAAATCAATCAATCGACCGTCCTGATCCACGACGCGAAGCGTCCAGTCCGAAATGCTCCGTACGATAATCGGAAGGTAAATGATCTGTGTGTGCCGGCGTTTCCGATATCTTATATCCTGGTGGCACGCTCGGTGAAAACTCGTGTATCGTGTGCACGTACTTGTCGTTGCTGTACGCACCCGCGGTCACGTTACACTCTATGCGAATGATGTTTACGTTGATGATATTTAGCGGAACATCCGATTCATGCCATGGTCGCGACTCCAGCACGCGATTCGCTGAAAATCCCAGTAGCGATCCAATGTTGTTCGGTTTTGTGAAATTTATCCGATAAGCGCACTTGATCTCGCTCTTCATCGTATTGTTATTAGCATAAATAATAATCAATGGGTGCGGTTCATTTTCGTTTGTCGAGACATTATTGGATTGGTCCCATAAAAGAGCACGTTTCAGATACATGTCTACATCACGCAGTTCGTACGATACTTCGGGAATGGTAATCTCCTTGTCGTCGTCGTCATAGTAGAATTTATTGTTCGACGAATTTACATTCGGTATCGTGTGATAGGTTTCAAAATCTGTTAGACCGAGCTCGTAATCGCCATCGCTCAAATCCACGGCGGGAAAGTAGCTTACCGCGAGGATGCTGCTCTTGCCGGTGAGTGTAAATGTCAGTGACATGTTTGAATGAATACTGAGATTAAACAGCGTAACGCCGGTCTTTAAATTGATTGTCAACCGACTGTAGAAAACGCAGACACAGTTGTCCGCAATTGCTCTGATCGTATCGCTGATAAGGCGTGCGATTGTACTCTATTACATTGTTCTCTAGATACTGCGCCAATTCTCTCGATGGTCGAAGATTACTAAAACTGTCGAAATATATGGCACGATCTCCCCTCTTCGCGTACGCCACCCAGTGAGTACCCGGTCCCTCAGTATTATCCAAATTCACGATACCGCTCTCGTTTCGACGTATACCGCCGATCGGTAACAATTTCGCGCATGAAAATACCTCTAAAATATGGAATGTGCATACGTTTTGCCAATTGTTGCAGTTGTACATTGGTAGTTACACCCTTGGGGATTTTTAGCGTCCCTTCGACGTTTTTTTTTCTTGAGACTCCCCGTCCGCGTTTGTACGGAGCGAAATAAAGTCCGTGACCTTCCATGGCGCGATTGTGACGCTGCATCTCTTCCAGCTGACGTCGCGCGGCTTTGTTATCATTCACGGCCTTTGCGATTCCCGCCGCTCCGCCGACCAACGAGCCGAGAACCCCTAATAACGGTAGGATCGGTAGGATACCGCCGCGTTTCGCTACCGGAAGTATTCGCTTGGTTTTCTTCTTTTTCTTCGTTTTCAAACCCATACCGAGTTTCGTTTTAGCCTTCATGGCCGCCCAGACGGCTGTAGCCGCAGCTCTCTCTCCGAGAGTCGAATCGTTCGCGGTGACACGTTTTCGCGCTTCCGCGGCGAGTATATTGTCTGCCACGTGTCGTTCTGCGAGATCGTTGCTACGCGAGTAGGCTATGTCGTGCTCGCGACACGCTGCGTCCAATGGATTAATTCCCCAATCACCCCTTGCCAATCGTGTTTCTAAACGAGTTCCCGGACCGCAAAATTGATAGCCGGGGATATGTAATTCAATCGGAAGCGCGTTTATCGCGCGATTCAACAGACCTCGACCTATCTTCGGCGGCATTCGCCGCAGTTTTTTATCAACGGCGGCGGACCGTCAATGTGCGTTTGCTGACACGGCAAATTATAATGTATTAAACAGCGCCGATATTGCTGAACCTCCGAATCTGCCTTGATATGTTCGGAAAGCTTATCCCACAAATAATCTATGTGATTATAAAACTGTCGCAGTAGAATGACCTTTGGTATATAGTACGCAAACATGGAGGCATGCTACCGATTTCTATACGCGGTATCATCTGCGGTCCGTCGAATTGCGGCAAGACAAACGTCTTGATAAGCTTGCTGGAAAGTCTGCACGGTGTACGTTTTGAGAACGTGTATGTGTACTCGAAATCGTTGCAACAACCGAAATATCGATATTTGGAGAATATACTAACACCGATAGAAGAGATTGGCTACTTTACGTTCTTGAATAACAGTGACGTCATTCCGCCGAGCGAGGCGCTCTTGAATTCTATTTTTATCTTTGATGACGTGGCGTGCGACAAACAAGATACGATAAGAGAATACTTTGCAATGGGCCGGCACGCGGACATTGACTCTTTCTATCTTTGTCAGACGTATGCGAAGATACCGAAGCATCTTATACGCGACAACGCGAATTTATTGATTCTGTTTAAACAAGATGGTACCAATCTGAAACACATATACAACAATCACGTAAACACAGATATGTTTTACAATGATTTCAGTAAATTGTGTCATACGTGTTGGCAACAAAAGTACGGATTCGTGGTGATAGACAAGGACAGCGCGATTTCGAATGGTCGATACAGAAAAGGATTTAACGACTTTGCGATACCAAAACGTGGTTAGTTGTTGTCGACGCGTCGATTGAACAACGTTAGCGCAACATGGACAGCAGCGAGGAGATTTGAGAGCGCGAGAGGATAGCAAATCAAATTGCGAAAACGAGCAATTCGATTCGCAAAAAATATCACACCTTGAAAACTGGTAAAGTGGAGGAAGATATCGCGTTGGAGAGACACTTTAAGCCCATCATCAAGCGTCTAAGGCAGATTGCCGAAAACACCGTTGCTGGCAAAGAATCTGACGTGTCAAAGATTGAGAATGAAACGGCGTGGGAAGACGAAGAGCCGAAGCTCAAACGACAACGACCAAACGCCTCGTTTAACAACTCTGTAATGGCTTCAACTCCGGTTACGTTGAAACGATCGATAAATGTACCATCTAATTTGAGCGAAATAACAAAAATTTTAAAACCGCGTAAACCAAAACGATCAAAAGGTCCATTGAATGAACCACCGATAATCTCTGCACCTTCCGTACAACCCACAGTGTTCGCCAAACGAAGATGTTTTCGAAACCACGAATGACCCACTCGTGACGTCCGTTCGACAGCAGTTGCAAACATCTGAGGGTCAAGAAACGTTGCGAGATCAATTGGGTCCATTGAGCCAAAAGTATGTCGGAGCAGTTCTGAGCGGCGATCAAGAAAGCGGTATGGACATCGCGTACGGTGTTAAATTCACCAACGATGGAATGATGCTCGGTAATAAACGTTTTGACGTGAACTACGCGGACAAGATAATTATCGACGGCATACGATACAATGGCACACGCGGTCTTTTTGAATTAATCTTTAAGAAATATCCCGATCATGATATCTACACAGAGGACGATATGCAAACATACAAGAGCATTCTGTTGATGACGAGTGCTCATAAACGCAATTATGATGCTCACGCTCAAATAAAGGGCAACGGGGGATACAAGTACACACATATAATCGGGCCGTTGATTTCGGGTAAAAAAGCTGGAAAAGGTATACCGCGTGCCATGACAGACAACAAGATCGACCATATAATTGCATCGTCGATTTCGGGTAAAAAAGCTAGAAAAGGTATACCGCGTGCCATGACATTAAACGACAACAAGATCGATTATGTTCATTGGGACAATCCCAACGAGCTTGTAGATCGTCTCAGATTGCTCGAAGCTTCGCGCCTAGCGGGTCACACCGGTCACGATAACGAAATCCTGTCGATTATCGAGGAACTTCGCGAGGCTGGACTTATTATAAATTAAGTGGCGAGTCATTCAATCAACATCGAAATGCCGATCAACAAGTTTGGTATATCGCTCGGAAGAGGCGGTGCGGAACCGTACTATCAATGGAGAGGATTAATCAGAAATTACGTGCGCAATAACGCTCTTTGCATAGTCGCCACCGACTTTGACTCGAAATCGCGCAAGATTCGATGGATAGCGCCGCCTGTAGATGATGGCGATGCAGCCAATAAACGTTACGTGCAGCAGAGCGTGCAAATTTTGAAAGATCGACAGGATGAAATGGAGAGAAAGATGGCCGCATTCCAGAATAACGTGCAAACTACCCTAAACAAACTTCAAAAGATGATTCAAGATGTAATTGCGAATCATCGCGAATAGATAAGAACGTACATCTGATATCTGCGTCAGTTGCACGTCATCGTCATGGCTGGTAAGAAGCAATCAACTGAGAAACGGAGGCTTGTGGAAGAATTACACGCACCTGCAAGAAGAAATTTTTCTTGAAGACGTGTCATAGTGCGCGGATACGATGACCTGTGGCAGGCGGATGTGGTCGAGATGCGCCCATACACGCGATTTAACAGAGGCCACTATATACTCACCGTTATCGACGTGCTGAGCAAGCACGCATGGGCCGTACCGCTCAAGACCAAGAGCGGACTCGAGGTTACTGCGGCGATCGCGACAATAATTCGAGACGGCGGAAGATGCCCGAAAAATCTGCAGACTGACAAGGGAAAAGAATTTTACAACGCAAACGTGCAGAAACTCTTGAAGAAACATAATATCAATCACTATTCGACATATTCCGTAATGAAGGCATCAGTCGTCGAACGATTCAATCGCACGCTCAAGAACAACATGTGGAAAATGTTTACGCGCAATGGAAATTACAAATGGATCGACTCGCTGCCAGGTCTCGTATCGGATTACAACGCGCGAAAGCATCGAACCATCGGCATGCGACCCATCGATGTTACCCCCGCGATCGCCGACAAGCTCCTAACAACAGTGTACAGCCACGTAAAGATCGCTGCTCCCGCGCGATTCAAAGTGGGCGATTCGGTACGCGTGAGTAA